TGTTATTCTGGGAATGCCTGCCGGAAGAGATCTGTCTTGATGGCTTTTAAAAGCCATCTAAGTTGGTTACCTGATGGATCTCCTCCAGCAGGGCATTCCACAATCTGGGGGCTGTAGCAGAAAAGGTCCTGTAAGAGGTTGTCGCCAGCCTAGTTCTTATTGGTTGAAGCAACTTCCTCCCAGAGGACCTGAGGGCACGGGCGGATTATATGGAGATAGGCAATTCCTGAGGTAAGATGGGCCCAGGAAATGTAGGACTTTAAGGGTCAATACCAACACCTTATACTGTGCCCGGAAACTAACTGGCAGCCAGTGTAATGGTTTCAAAATAGGAGTGATATGGTCACCTTTTGTTGTTCCGGTGATCAATCTGGCTGACATGTTTTGCACTAATTGCAGTTTCCGACTTAGGTATAAGGGTAGCCCCATGTAGAGTGCATTACAGAAGTCGAGTCGTGAGGTTACCAGTACATGTACTACAGTTTCTAGGTCCCTTACTTCTAGGTCCCTTACTTAAGCTGATAGCAGACACTCCTGACTGCCGCGTTCACCTGATCTGTCATGTGAAGCGATGAGTCCAGGAGCACCCCAGACTGCAGACACAGTCCTTGGTGGAGAGCATGACCCCATCCAAGACTGGCAGTCGCAATCTCTGGTTTGGGCGCCCCTACTGTAAGTACCTCCATTTTGTCTGGATTCAGCTTGAGTCGGTTTTTCCTCATCCAGTCCATTACCGCTCTAAGACATTGATTGAGGGGAGAACCGCCATCTGCTGTCACGGCATCTGACCGAGACATGGAGCAGAATATTTGAGTATCATCTGCATATTGGTAACATCCTGCTCCATGTTAGCTTTTGTTACTCTGTGATCAAGAGAGGACTTGAGAATCTCTGATACCACCAATTTATTCCCTTTCTGTGGGCAGATTCAACAAGGTAATCCTGGTTTCAAACATTTTGGTTTATGAAGCTGGAAATGACAATCAGGCTCATATGCTCATCCCTTGATCTCTTTTTTACTGCTGCATAATGACATTGCTAACAATGGAGATTCTAGTTTGTTTAAACCAGAGTTCCCTGTTACCTATGAAATGGAGAATTCTGCTTTAATGTGTGTTTATTGGGATAGTAAAGCAAAATACAACCCTGACTTAAAATATTTTTGATGACCAGAAACCTGGTGTCCTGAATAAAGACACCATTTTTCTAGCCTCCTGTCCTTGCCATCCCAAAAAAGTTCTTCCTTAATATCTGGTATCATAGCTGCTATTATCTGACTCACAACATAAGAGGAATTATCAAGTAATTCTCCAACAAACACAAGTGAGGTTCAGGAACCACTGAATTATGTACAAGTTGAGGGTTCTATGAAAGATGTGAGGCTGTAGGATTGATAACCAGATCTGAAATAATCTCGGTGTTTTGACTTGGTTGTCAAAGAAGTCTGGGTTTTGATTAAGATGTTCTTACACCCTCCCTTTAATGCTGAACAAAGATTTCTCACAAAGCGAAACTGCATTGCTGAATCAATTGTTCTACTCTTGGAAAATTAAGTGATTGAGGCACTAGAGATAAAGGATAAAAGAGCTGTGCAGATATTCTCTAAATTCTGTATGAAGCTACTGCAGAAACAGTTGCTATAGTAACTGCCAGGCTAACATGAAGTGAGGGATGAAATTACTTAGCACTTCAGTGGGAAGACAAGCTCAGGCAAAAGTATGTATCCTTATACTAGCAAGAGGGAAAAGGAAGATTTCAAGGAGAGATTTCTCATCAGCAGCTGAAGAGAAGTACTAGCCCTCTCAGAACGAAAGGCTCAAAATGCTAAAAGGATGTGCCATACCTTAAGAGTGTAGACTGTGTGGCTCTCCAGAAGTTGTTAGACTGGAGTTCCCATCAGCTCTAGCTTGCATACCCAATGGTGACGGATGATGGGAGTTGCTGTTCAACAATATCTAAAGAGTCACACATTCCTCACTGTCTTCCCTTATCTAGTGTAACAAATAGTAAATTATGTGCAACTGCAAAAGTCACATATTTTTCCTGGTTGTTGACCCTAAGTCCCTCTTTTCCTTAGTTTCCTCTGTTCTTTTTCTTGTATCATTTTTGAGATTGTAAGCACACTGGGACAGGGATTTGTCCTCAAAGTCATGTTGGAATACCATATTACTTTTTCAAAAATGCATGAATAGCAGGGCAGTCTTTCCAATTGCCAGAGGAAATACTCCATTCACGTACGTCTGTCCTTCACTTGATATATTCAATACAGTGATTCCTTGTTATCTGCTGGGGTTTGGTTCCAGGATCTTCCATGGATACCAAAATCCATGGATGCTCAAGTCCCATTAAATACAATGGCATAGCAAATGGTGTCCCTTATATAAAATAGAAAACCAAGGTTTGCTATTTGGAATGTATACTTTTTTCAGTATTTTCAAACCTTGGATGCTTGAATCCATGGATAAGGAGGGCTGACTGTACAAAGTTGTGGATTTGTATGTTGGAATGAATTGCAACAGAAAAAACATTAGAGAAGGAATTGATAGTATATTACTATTGTTTGTTTGGTTAAAAGCCCATAAAAGCACATGTACATAGAGAGAAAACATCCATATATCTCCCTCCTTTGGGTTCGTTCTCCAGCTTCAGGATTTCTTTGACTAAAACAGTTTATCTAGACCAAGGTGAGCAAGTTCTAGAGACCCACAGTCCATCTTTCAGTTTGGAAGATCTTCTGTGGATGGCTACATTCCCTTCATATATGATACTAAGTTATTGGAACTGAACTGAGCACTTATAGCTTTTAGGGAAATTATGGTTTTTGACCCTAAAACAAGCCATGCCTCCTCCTCGCATCTTGTTTTAGAAAAGAATTGTGCCCCTACAGGTGCAATTCTCACTTTTTTTTGGAAAAAAAATTAAAAATGTGATCTTCACTCCTGATCTGGATATATTTCAATCCATTTTCATGCCATTTAACAGAACTGAAACAGCCTTGGTCACCTTGATGAATGACCTCTGTTCTAATGAGCTCTGCCCCAAAAGCAAGGATGGCTTTGTTTTAGCATTATCCAAACCCATTAATGGAGGTTGGGAGTTGAAGGTGGAGGTGGGAGGCAGAATCAGAACTTGGGCAAGTTCCCTTTCTGGACAACTGCACCAGAATGATGAGCAGAGTTCTTTTATTTCTTTCATTAATTTCCTTTTTTAAAAAATATTT